GATTTTGAACTGTGATGGGGAAGGCACTGTGCTGACCATCTAGTATGTCCATAGCTAGTGGTAAGAACTTTTACCTAAATTCAGTCATTTAATAAAGGGTGGGATGTGGAATAGTTTTGTGGGGATACGGTTTCATGTCTCTTCCTCCTTGCCACTTTGTTCTTACTTCAGTGCAGTCCAGCCATGATTTCATCTATCTATGTTCTATTTAGCTAGTAAAATGGTGGAGGTTTTCCGCGATCATCTAATTTGCACCTTAATACGGGCACTATAGACAGCTCCGGAACGAAATTTGCTGCATCAAATCTGATCAAATAACTAACTGCCCTGCATGCATATTAAAACAGTAGTTCAAGTGAATGTCATGGACAATGGTCAATTTGAAATTATTAAGTGATGCGAAAATGCTTCTCTTATACCATACCGTCTTCTTCTACCTGCGATCCTTTGTCGCCAGTCAGCATGCGCGAATGTTCAAATACTTGCAAATGGAAAGTAGAACTTTCGATTTGGAAACACACAGGCCTTAAGCACAGTCCTTTCAGACCCCTTAACTATCTTGAATTTTGTTCCATGGACTCACCACAAAGTAGGGGAGCAGGACGTTTTCTTTTGCAAGAATTCACTTGACGTGCATATTGACAGCGAAATCTTCTTAAATTGGGAGTGGAAGGAGTTTGAGGAAAGACAAGGATTCCGTTAATTTTAGGTTCAGAGGTGTTTGGTTATCCAAAAGTAGAGATAGTAGAGCTCCTCGGTCTTAGCTTAACAATTAAGCGGTTGTTGACTCTGAGCATTCCGAATTCCCACATCTGCCAACCACGAAACTCACATGCCATGAAGCGACGTCACCTGTTCGTCTCCATCAAATTTTCGTCCCGTTAGAGATTCAAGAAGCTGCGGGGCACGAAGGGTCATCACAATCCTACCGTCAACTTCTTGGGTGCCTCCTTCTGGCACCTGCATACAACATAGAAATTAACCTTACCGGGATAGGACCAAACACATGCACATGAGCCCTTGTCATTCTTGGCCACTTAAAATGACTAAAAGATGGAGGAGCAAACATAATTTCCCCATGCTACTGAGTAGAAGTGTTTCTCTACGCGAATTCCAGTAAACATCACATCAGACCGCAGCTTGGGTGGGGTTTTGTGAGATGTGATCTTCATTTATTTTTTGTAATGCTTAAGCAATGTTTGTAAAACTGACATAGAAAGAGTAGCCAACGTGATCTCACTTTTCAATGACAACCCGCATCACTTTGTCACTCTGCTAAGTTTCTCGTCTTCCAAATACACCTGTTGAGGCAAGCAAAAGATGCTTGTGAGCGGAGATTGTTCCTCCTGTCCCCAGTGACAAACTCGTTGCTTGTGGGACTATTTCACGAGACCGGCTTTACACCTATAGCAAGGCATGAGGTGCATGCGGTTGTTGAGGTCAAATCTGAGACCTCAAAGTGTTGCCAGTGCGCGGTGAGACAGAGAGCGAGATTGAAGGTTTGACAGCTAACGGCAGAGCCAATAGTGAGTTCATTGATTTGTCGATTGATGGGAAAATTATTTTCCGCACGACGTTTGAATTTCTCGACCAAAGCGACGACGCACTAGTCGAGGAGTGGGACGCCTAATCACTTCAGATCCACACACTTAATTTGGAGAGATGTAATGAAGAAACATAAATGCAGCTTCATCGACGAAGTGTTTTGAAGGACAACGCCGCAACGACCTTGTGCAATGGAGGGTGAAGTTTTGCACCTCCCCACAGATACTTTTATTTCTAAACACATTAGAAAGTGCATGAGGCAGCAATCGAGATGACCCTGTAGTTAGCGCGAACAAAATTAGCGAATAAGGGGACGTTCAATGCCCTCACCTTCTATCAAATAATATTATTCCTTTTCAGCGGACCCTGTTCCAAATGCTATTGCTGGTCAACAGAGAGGCATTCCCAGAGCAAGAAATCTATTACTTGTCATATACTCATATATGTA